AGACCCTTCACCAGCCTCGTTGCCCTTCTCTGGACACGTTCCAACATCTCAACATCCTTCTTGTAGTGAGGGGCCCAAAACTGAACACAGTATTCGAGGTGCGGCCGCACCAGTGCTGAGTACAGGGGCACTATCACTTCCCTGCTCCTGCTGGCCACACTATTTCTGATACAGGCCAGGATGCCGTTGGCCTTCTTAGCCGCCTGGGCACACTGCCGGCTCATGTTCAGCCGGCTGTCGACCAACACCCCCAGGTCCTTTTCCGCCAGGCAGCTTTCCAGAATAGTTGAGGTTGAAAGGGACCTCCAGAGATCGCTTAGTCCAAACCCCTGCTCAAAGCAAGATCAACTAGAGCAGGTTGCTCAGGACCATGCCCAGTCGTCTTCTGAATATCTCCGAGGTTGGAGATATTGTGCTTTTCCGATAGATCAACACTCCCGCCCAACTTGGTGTCATCTCAAACTTACTGAGGGTGCACTCGATCCCCTCATCCAGATCATTGATAAAGATACCTGCTGTGCGGAAGTGCCAGGAAAGAGCCTGTTCTACCAACCACAAAGTGGCAGAGCCAGCAGGTCCTGGGAATTCAACCCTTCCCTGAGAGCAGCTGAGGAGTAATTCAGGTGGAGCAGGTCCCTCTCCTCCCCAGGTGAGGCCAGCCAAAGGCATGGGACCACAGCAAGGAGCTGGGACTCCACAGTTCAAGGACAGGGACAGGAAACTGCCAAGAGGAGCAGGGAGCAGAAACCATGTCCTTGGTGGAAGGAAACCATGTTCTGGAGAACAGCATGCATGACTGATGGCAGCTGAGCTCAGAGAGCTAGAAGTGAAACACGAAACAGGCTGTCCAAGGAAACAGGGGAGTCTCCCTCACTGGAAATATTCAAGACTCAACTTGACAGAGCCCTGAATGACCTGATCTAAGGCCCTGTTTCAAAAGAAGATTGGCCCAGGTGAGGTCCCATCCAACCTGGATGTTTCTATGATACTGTCACTGTGCCTGTCATTTCAAAGATGAGACCAGAGACTTCCAGGATCTGCGGTCCCAGTTCAGCAATGTTCTCAAGTGCCTGTGCATCTTCAGCCATGTTCTTCCTTCCCAAGTAATACTGGCAGACTTCAAATTAAACACATGCTTTGGAGTTTTTCTAGTTTGGGAGTCACGCAGATAATTCTTGGCTCTGTTCAGTGTCCAGATTCTTCCAAGCCTTTATCCATGAGCACAACTTCTATTCTCCTCTCTTTATGTCAGCTTCAGTTAATACTTGCAAAGCAACTGCAGACTCTTAAAAGATAGTCACTAAATTGCAAACAGCAACTAGCACTTGTTTCACAATTTTTGTCCTGTCATAGTCAGCACACAAAGAATTTTATTTTTCTTCAAGTTACATGATTTTACATGAATACTTGCAGTAAGTCCCCCATCAAACAAATAATATACAAATATTTTGTTGATAAGCCAGAGCGACCATTTACAATCACATTCCATTCAAAATTCTGAATTTGGCGATTGTGTTATTGTAACTTAGAGGAAAGATAGAGGGAACTTCACAAAAGAGTGATATGAGCGATACATAAGATACAGAGATGGACTTACTTAAACAGAATACCTGTATGAATATTTCATTCAATTGCTTAAGGGATTCTTTTTGTTGTTTTTTCTTAAGAGAAATAACAGACTACATCACAAGCTGCTGCCATCCCCTCTCCTGCCCAGGGCATCAGGCTGCCTGTTTCTCTGCTGTACAGCAATGAATTTGCTCATTGCGACACACTGCACGTGTTCCATCAGCACAGTTTTTTGTCTCTGGGTTTACCTGACATAGTACATACTATGAAGTAAAAGTACATATTTGGAAAATTTTGCTCTTTTTCCTGGTTGGAGCTTTGGAGACAGATGGATATGGAGAGGACGAAGCAAAGAGGGCTTCAGTAGAAGTTTGGAACAGCAAGAATATCTGGGAATCAGGATGAGTATAAATATAAACTGAAAAGCAAACATCACTAGATCTGGTGCTCCAAGAGAAAGCAGAAAAACTTGGGAGACAGAAGCAGAAGAGGTCTGATGGGTCAGCCTTCTAATCAAGCCTCACTTTCTCAAACACTAGCTGAACCTTCACCAATTCTTAGACACATAACTTCTTGTGTCACTGGGTATCTCCACCCTGATTTATTTATTTATTTTAAATACTTCAATAGCTGTCCACCGAAGACTGAAAACTAATCTTTTGGGAATCTTGCTTTGCAGAAGGATTACAGCTTCACCATTTTTGCAGCATAACTCTTTGCAATAAGTATTTTATTTTAGTAATTCTTCCACAAAAATACATTCTGGAAATAATACATTAAAACTAGGTATTCAGAAGCTACTTTAAACAGCTGAACTGGAAAAAAAGTCCATAGAACACAAAATTTTTCTGCTGTTATTTGAGTCTTCAAGACAAATAATCAGAAACAAATTACATAAAAGCTTTCTTATAAATGTATTCTATATCTCATTATCAAGTCAGTCTTCCTATTCCTGAAGTGTATTATAGCCTACGGTTCACTTTTAATATTTAAATGTTACATCTATATAAACAATACAGCTTGACTAGCGATAGTATTAATTTTGCATGTTAAGGACTAATTTCACTGTGCAAAACCCAGAAACATACTTTCAACTAAACAGTAGTAAAACCAGTATAAATTATATTGAGAAATTAATCCAAAGAACCTTTAGTAAGCCGTTCATCACAGGACTGCAAATTTCCTTTCCATTCCACTCTTTGCTCCCTCTCTCATCCCTTGTCAAAGGCAGAGAAGTCAAGCTACACAGAATTAAGCCAAATTTACTTTTAGATGCTGACAACTCAAAGTCAACAGAATAGTGTAAAAATTTCTGCAGAGAGACTGCTTCCATAGACAGTAGGAAGATTCACAGTATTTCACAATTATGAAAATCATCAGGACTACCACAAAAAAAAAATTCCAGAAGATCTATTGTTAATTGCTGAAGCAGAAGTTACTTTTAAACATTCATCTGAAAAACACATAGGTCATTTTACAGTCTTAAGTTTAAATTACTAAATACATATCTTGTCTCGCTCCCAACAAATTCACAGTACCTGATTTTATTTAAAAAAAAAAAATCTTTTTCAGTTGAACAAAATGTATTGAAGATGCTTCCAGTATCATTCTAAAATCTTAATTTAGTTCTGCAGAAGCTGACAGCTTCAATATTCAAATCAACAACAGGAGAAACCGGTTCTATGAAATCCAAATCTTCTTAAGTTATTCCTCGGGCTTTTCTAAGCTAAGTTCCTAAAAGTATTGTTCTACAGAACATAACCTAGATTTCCTTAGAGATAAGTGCAAACTCTACCAAACATAATAACATTAGATCATATTGAAAACAACATTTGGTTTTTATGCCGAACTTTTCATCTGTCTTCACAATAAGCCTGTCCTTAGGACCGAGGGGTAGATCTTTGTGGGAAATAAACAAATCACAGATTCACCAGCATCACGCTAAATAATCACAATTGCTATTTTTTAAAAATCTGCTGCTAGTCTTCATTTTTTTCAGTTTGTAATTTTTAGATAGTCAGAAGTTTGTGCATTTGTTAGTAGCTGATTTAGGCCATGTCTGGTGATCAGACACACAGGGATAAACCAACTGCATCATGACCCCCATAGTTACAGCATGCTCTGGTTAACTCCATCCCAGCCAGACCCAGCACACATGCAAAGTCATGCTCACTAGGAGCATGATTATGCAAAGTCAACATTAAAAAAAAAGAAAGAAAAAGAAACAAAAACAATTGAGAGGAAAGTCGTTTTTCAAGTGTCAAGAAAAAAAGAACAACAGTGTTCTAGTACAGAAAATGGGCTCACAGGCAACAGAACAAAGGCCACTAGACTCAAGATGGAAAACGAAGACCTAGAATAAGCTTATCTCGAACAAGACCAGAGACCTATTTTCTTGAAGATGTTATTATGAGATAATCATGAGGGGGAAAAGTGATCTATATTTCCCTTCCATCCATCCCAGGCATACACTGAAAACACTGTAAATCAGAGCAAGTTTGAAGAAAGTCATCTCTTTCTCCCACGCAAATTATAAACTTTAAATGCAATTTCCAGAGTTGGGCATAGTTGCCTTTATGTCAGAAAGATCAAGTTTGAAAAATCTCCAAACTCTCCATTTAAAGTGACAAAAATATAGAAACAAAACACTTCAATTGTCTACGACAAATGAAATTGAAGGTTATTGTAGATAATTTCCTTACTGTGAGGTGACACAATCTTAAAGACTTATACATGAATAAACTTCCATTGAACCTCCTCAAAAACTCAATGTTACAGGAAGAGTAATAGAAATCTTGTTTTGTATTAAATCAACCCCCAAGTACTCAACACAAAAGAGAAAAGAATACGAATTTTGAACACAATATCCTTCCTTCATCCAGATATAAAACACTGTAGTCAAAGCAAAACTTAAAGGTTCTTAATCTTCAGAGAATGACAAAGGCACTGAGAGTCAAAGCTGATTTAAAAATCCCAAACAACTCCCGTCCCCCCAAAACCCACAACACCACAACAACAGGCAGCTTCTAGTGTTCAGTCCCAAACTGTATATATTTAAGGAAATTACAGTGTAAAAGTAATTTTTGATAATTTGATCTCACATAAAGCCCTACCTTTTAATTACATTCGAAATTATCTGTATTATATTTGATTTTAAAACAATTATTCAAAGAAGCAGTCATTTTCTTGGCTTGCAAAATAGCAGGTGTTGCATGTAAGTTACAGAAAACTACCACTAATTCCCACGTGCAGATAAATGCCATGCTTCTTCACAATTAAATAGATGGAGATATTATCATCACATCATCTCAAGAAATCAGATTACATTCATATTATGCTCCAAGAAGGAGAAAAAATAAATCAACATATTTCTAGCAGACCAAACCATTACACAGGTACTGTATCAGTGACAAAATGCCAAGAGGACTCACCTGTTCAATCTCCTTTGTCTTAGTTGCAATTGCTTTTGAGCGGCCAAGAAGCTGGCCATCCTCATATAATTCTGTACTTTCTGTTACATTTGTTTCTGTTTCCTCTGTTTGTTCAACGTATAATGGAGCTGAAGACCCAGCCTTAAAAAAAAAAAAATTCAGTTTTGAGAGCAAAATAAAAACCCAAATACATTCAGTTAGATATGAGTTTGCTTATCAAGACTATTAGCAAAGTATTATTGCTACAATCTAACAGATACAGAAATATGGATTTTAAACATGTAGAAAACATGACATCATAAAAAACCCTGTGACTCAGTCTTAAATGTGTAAAGACAATGATGTCAGACAACCTTTATCTGCCCTTCCACTGAGAAAGAATTTGTGTATGTGATATAATTTATAACACCAGCTAGCAAGAAAAATCCACAATGAAAGTGGGATTAGTTTTTTGGGAAAGGACAAAAGTAACAAAATCAAAGGTAAATAGGCATCGACAAAATCAAAATGCTGTCAGAAAGAACTCTTGCAGCACTCAAGATCACAGATTTAATATTAAAGGAACAGAGATACCTATTGTATAGCAAAAGCAAACGCATGCTTAGAAGATCCCTGATAATATGAGAAATCTTATGGAAGTACCTAAATTGTATAAGCTTCCCTTTAAAACAGAAATTAAGACAGTATCCCTGCCCCAAAGAAAACAGACTCCTACTCCAAGAAGCCCATATAGATGATGTAAAAAGAGAAGAAACTACTACAGCATATTTAATATTATGGAACAGATTTGTAGAATATAGTAATTTTTTTTTTTTAAATAAGATTTGAGAATTAAAGAAGATGCATAAAAATATTTTCTACTATCAAAAATAAAGAGGGAGAATCTTAAGACTTAACTAACATGAAAAAGCATTACACACACACAAAAAAAAGCTTAAGTGGTCTGATGAGCATCTGCTCAAAACTTAGCAGCGATATAAACCGTCAAGATTGCATCCCAAATCTTGTTACTGCAGTAAATCATGAAATGCCTGAGAGGGAGTAAAGGCTGCTAAAAAGTTCACTGCCAAAGTTCAACTATTAAGCACTATGTAAGATAAACTGGAAAAAGTTAGAAACTGTTGCAAATCATACATGACAGCCTGCTAATCAAGGTGAGAAGTATCCTTTCTTCTAGGACTCAGAACAAGATGCCTCACCTCCTTCATTAAGAAAGTGTGCTACAGGAATGCTAGTCAATAAATCATCTCAGCCTCTGCCATAATCAACTGCAATTGTTTCATTTTGAATCTTTCTTTATTTTTAATCTTACTGCCACTGCAATTTTCTCTGAGGCACAGAGGAAGCTTTAAACAGCTCTTCTCCATATGGCCCACTCTGTTCTTTCCTCTCTTGCATTACCTTCCCCTCATCGAGAACAGGAGTGACATTTCTCTTCACCGTCACTCTCCTAAACCTCTCAGAAATGTCCATGCGTATGTTCTCCTCCATATGGCATTCATGCTTAGATCAGTTTGCTGCTGCTTCTTCCTCACTCCAACCCCTCCCCCACCCTTTTTTTTTTTAATTTCTTTTTCCTGGAGGGAAATGAACAGTTTATTTATCAAACTGGATCTTCCTGTCCAGTACCAAGAAGCTGTTGATGCACTCAGCCATTACATCAAATGGACAGGACTTTAAAAGTTCAGGTAAATATGGATCCAGTGAGCTTATTTCTCTAATCTAGCCCTTACATTCCGCAAGTGTGAAATACAAGGAGGAAATCTGATGCTTCCCAGGATGCTTTTATTTTCCCTCAAAATATTTACAAACAAATATAAAATACAAACCCATTAATTATAAAGTTTAAAGACACATGACTTTGTAAAGTAGGTACTATTTTGTTTTTGCAAGAGTGCCTCTAAAGTTGAAGCAAAGTGAAAGCTGAAGATGAAATGATCACAGAATTAAAAGACTATTTTACAAAACCACATTACATGACATTTGGTTTGTTTTAAATGACAAATACATCTTCCACTAATATAGCAGAATCCAAAAAAAGACATCCTATCCAAGAGCAGCATAACAAAACAAAGACTGAAAACGGCTATAATCACACTTCAATATAGCAAAGGGTAGAAGACAAGGAGGGGCAAGAACAGATGGGTATAAACTGGCAATTAATTAATGTTGACTATTAAGGAAAAAAAAAAAATCTACCTACTGCAGTACCCAGGCAAGAGTTTGTTAATTTTTAATATAGAGGACTGCTTTCTGAAAAGGAATACATGATATGGCAGGCTGACATGGCATGGAACTGGACTCAATAAACCAGAGTTTCTCTTTTAATCTTATGTTTTACATGTACACTCATATTTTGCCTCAGAAGTCCCTTACTAATTTTAAGTTCAGTAGGCATACATACATACACTAGTACAAGAGTTTCTTGGAGAATCCCTGGGAGAGCTGGAGCCTTATTTTGTCAGTTGTAGCTCAACATGAATTCAAATTACACTAACAAAACCTACTCTGTTTTTCTGTATTTTTTTAAATAAATGAATAAATAAATCACAAGGCTTTAGTCTCCCTCTCACTCCCTTTCAACAAACATTTAATAGCATAGGCGACAAATTCAGGGGTAAGTTACAAAATGTGCCTTTCAGGAGAGTACAGAAAAACAAGAGTCTATTGTTGTCACACTTTAAAATAAATCGATTAATACTCCTGTCTTACATCATACTCTGTTATTTCAGGTAAATTGCTTTCATCGGCCTTCTCTGACTTTTCAGCTGCCCACTTGCTTGCAGCTTCTGCAAGTTCCTTTTCCAATTGTCTGTTGCTCTTATCCAAGCCCTGTACAAAAACATTATAGTCAAGGTTTAACATGAAATATATTTACACATGGCAAAACATCTTGAAAACTAAAATAAACAGTTTTTCAGATCCCCAAGACATTTTAAAATAGGAAATAAGGAAGCTGAAGCTATTTCATTTGCTGACTGATTTCTTTAAAAAGAAAAGTGGGTGAGGAGACAGCAGAGAAAAAAAAAGAGAGAAGAGAAAAAAGACAAATCAATTAAGTTCAGTAAAATGTTAAAAAAAGCACCATACTTTCAGAATCAGTTTTATTAAATTCACGGGACAGAGATAACAGAAAAATTATTTTAGACCAGTTGAGTTTAAAGAGACATGGATCAAATGGGCACTAAGAAGTCAGATACAAGTGTGGAATGATCTAATAATTCAATACGATTTTCAGGCATAAAAGGTTGTAACAAATTTAAACTAAACCATTAAATACTGTGTAGGGTATAAAACCTAACCTAATTAGGGACAAAAAGTATTTTATACATACTTTAAATGATCAGAGCTGCTTCCATTAAAATTCATGATTTTTTATTTGGGGGGAACGTTGATCATTTATAATACAGTCAGTCATGGTTTTATGGCTTTTTAATCTACCTTCTCAGATGGAAATACTCATATAAATAATAATTAAAAATTGATTTCTCTCTAAGAATACGATTTGGCTTTTACTAACAGAGCAACAAACAATGACAAATACCCACGTACCAAAACCATTTTTGGAATAGCTAGCTTTATAAATCTTGTTACCACTACATGGCTATTTCATTTGAATCAACTGTATGTATAGAAGCATCCATCCAAGAATCTCTACAACTCTAGTATTAAAAACTGCAACACTAAGGTGGATATCTAAAAAAGATACAAAAATCCTACTGCTTGAAAAAGGTTGTCACAATTTCTACCCAATGCCTGTTCCATCTTAGTAAACAGATGGACCAAAAAAAAGCAAACAAAAAAACCAACACTGCCCCCTCTTATCGTTAGTTCATCCAAATCACATTAAGTGGCCAGAGGAAGCAAATACTGTGACCTGTAATAAGACTGCTTCATCTTCAGAACTTCTGTGCTTTCCTCAGGTAAAATATTATCCAAACATCTCTTCGTGCTGTAGTATGGCATAAGTATACAATTCACAGAACCCTTCCAGGATTCTGTGTCATAAAGACACCACCTTTATCTGAATTCAGAAGAGAAGTGCAACACAATGTTCAAAGAGGAATCCCTCTTTTCTATAATTGTAAATTACAGAATTATAACCAGCGAAGTCAGGACGTGACAAAGGTCAATATGCAGGGGTACGAAGAGGGTTCCTAAAAGAAAGAGGTAATATAATTCACAGAATAATTAGCCCAGCTCACCTTTCCAAACTATACAATTATTCTTACACTAGTCTCACTACAAACAATCTGCTGCCGAGTTTCCTCCCACCCCCAATGTTCTTATTTCCCATAGTATGCCTGACTTTTACCTTTAACCTGACTTTTCCCTAGCTGCCAAAAAATCTTATATTGTGGTACTATTATGAATCTCTCCCTTTCCTCAAATGTAGCTCTGGCCAATACTAACAAAAGAAAAGACCAGTATCTTTGTCACCAACAGTCAGCTTTGCATGAAATGAAGACAAATAAAATCTCACATGACTTACAATATTTCCACAAGCCATAAACAGAAACTAACCACTCTAGTATCTACTGGAATACAGCAAAAGAATATGTTTAATTTAATCTCACTAAATTTAATTCTATAGGTCACATGTCAATAAATAGCTATTAAAAAATCCTGAGTTCATTTTATGTACTAAAGTAATGGTATTTCCACAGGTACACTACAACCGAAGAACAGGAACATATTTACTTAGGCTGCGATCTTGCAAGAAATGAACAACTTCGTGTATCTCATAAAAAACAACCAAACTTCCCCCCCTGCCTCAAAGCAGAGGTGTCTTTTTTCCTCTTTTTTACCTCATGCATAACCTAAGAACAGCAAAAACCTGTCAGTTTTCTGCTATCTTTGCTGGGAAGCTTTCCCTCTCTCACACATCTGCTTTTTGCTCTAATTATATTGGATACAGCCTCCAAGGCTTGCAGTCCAGACAGTTATTAAAGAGAAACACAAAACATTTCATGCTGTAGTCAATTAAACAGGTGGTTAAGATCAGATAACACAAACGTATTAATTCACATGCATGAATATGTAAAAAGTTAATTATAAGACAGATAAGAATACCTTTTCAGATTTGCATATAGTTACTACAGTGAAAAGAGAGATTGCTGTGGAAGCATATACCTTTGTAAGTATTTCAAAGCTAAATTATAACTTAGAGCATTGAAAATTTTTTCCTTTAATCTATAAAGTATATAACTCATTTCTCAAGTCTTAGTAGATTGCAAGACCCTGGCCCTAGAGATGTTCATCATGTTTTGCCAAGACTTTTTCTGTCGATATTTCTATGTCAGTGAAGCACTTCTATCACTTATCTGGTCAGTGTAATCCAGCCATCACCCCAAGAGGCTCCACTGACACATGACAGTACATTACAAGCAGCTTTCAGAACTTCAAGAGAAAAGCAATAAAAGGTCACTGAAGTACTTCCATTTCTGCAGCTGATGTATACCCAATAAATACTTGTGCTGTCTGGGGAAATGATTTCCATCAAACAGAAAGTTTCATTTTGTGTAGCTTACATCAAGTGGATATCTACTGCCAGCAGATATATGCAAACTGCTGGCAAAAAAGGCAATACAGCATAGATCAGACCTGACTGAAGAAGAAAGAAAAACATTTAAAGAATACTTTACAGTTCAAGCTCGCACTGCATATTAATACGAGAGCAAGAGATTTTGCAATGCCTCCTTGTTCTCAAAGGTTTGTATTAAGCAAGGATTTGGTATTAAGCTGTAGTATGCCGAGTCTGTAAGCAAAATACATGAACTAATTATAAAGTTTATTTTATAATCCAAATCAGTGTAACTTGTGCCTAACAGCTTTTATCTTACTTCCCTTATTTACATTGCTGAAAATATATCGCTTGCCTCCCCCCTTAAGGACATTGGCAATTAGCTAACGCCTAGCACAGCAATTCTAAAAAAGCTGCATAAGGGATAAGTACTTCGAATGACATAGCACAACAAAAGCCTGATTTTTTTCCGCACCTAATTATTTCCTTCAGTCTCACCATCTCACAACAAAAAGTACCATTCTTTCTTTCAAATTTTTTTTGTTGTTTAAGCATTCCACGGCTTTTATTAAAAAGATCTCAAGAACCAGGCTAGTACACCATGCTATTTAGGGCGAATGTTATTTTTTAATAGGACCTTATTCGCTTAGAACAATATAATGCATTGTTTCTTTATTTCTCATTAAAGTATTTCCCAACAATTCAGAGAAAATACTCCTGTGGAAATGTTCATTTTAACCTCAAATATAATTTACAGGCAAGCAGTCTGTGATGTGAAAATGTTTTTGCTGCCACAGGACAGCCAGAACAATATTGAATGCTGATTGTTCATTAGTGTTTATTAGCCTGTCCATTTAACTAATTAACAAGATTATGTAGTTGGTGCTCAGCCCACAGGATTTTTTGGTTGGGAAATTAAACAGCATCATTTAGAACATAAAATGGCATTTACCAAACTATCTTGCAATGTGGCTCCCTTCCCAAGTGAAGGCTATCGTTCTTGCCACATCCTCGAAGAGCCCTGCTTTCAAGCCAACTCTGCTATTCACATTATCTTCCCAGTCAGTCAGCCACTTCACCACACTGTTTCCAAATCCAGTCACAGCTTTGGAATCACTGAAGGATGGAGTTCAGTGCAAGTACAGGCTTGTCCAATTGATCTGTTGCTCCTAAAAACTGCTTCCCCATTTTTCTCCTTGCCATTCCTTTTCTAGCACACTCCAGACTTTGAAAAATAACAATTTTAAATACATACAAAACTCCCTTTCTCCTAAAATGAGACAGTGAATACAGAATAAAAAGGTTTCTCGGTGTCATCATTAGATACACAGCATTATCAGCACCTTCCTGCCAGATAAGAGAAACCCATCCTCTGCTGGACTGCAGAGCAATTCAAGATGCTCCTTTCCTTAACAGCTGCATACAGGATCTCCTTCCAACTGAGGAAAAAAATCCAACAACAGTAAGCAATCTGAAACCACAGAGAGAAGTACTCAAAAAGAAAATTCACCTTTGATGAGGGTACTGCTGTGGAGCCTGAAGGTGATGCATCTCTTGATGTTTTCAGTGATTGAACTGACGTCCTCTCTTTACCTACAATTAAGAAAAAATTAATGACTATAAAATTATGTTAAAGATATATGTTGCAAATATACTTACTGGCTTAGAAAAATTGCAGTGAAATTCGCTCAAGTCAGACATGAAATCTACATGCTCCACCATCTGATAAATACTGATAACGCTTGCTTCTCTTTACAAAGAGAGAAGAGATATAGCTATATTATTTCACATACTTAGGAAAACCCATTGTCCTGTTTTTCAACATTAACTGAAAGGGCGTATCAATATGATTTGGCAAGTTGATGTGGTTTTACTTTTTAATATTCCTGTAATAATATAAATGGGTGAAATATTAGACACCAGTCAATCACTCCAGGAAACCAAGCAGCGTAGGAACTGGTTTAGCAGGCCACAGTACGTTGAAAAGCCCTGCCATGGGAAACAGTTCTGTACTGTATCAACCACGGGTTAGCTGCTCTTTGTATTATCGGTGTTTTTCTTGTAAGAGTTAAACATCGGCAAAATGACAATTCAAATTCGCTGTGCTAATCACAGACTGTGCACAGCCTTGCCACAGACCAGTTACAGGCAGCCCGCAGCAGCAGAACTGGTTGCTGTGTAAACCACTAGTTTTCAGCCTGTGGCCCATGGATTACATCTAAGGGATCTGCAAAAGATAGACAGGAAAAGCAGATGTGTTGTCAGTAGGCCTAAATTAACTAGACTGTTCACACTCACTGGGAAATGGCTGACTGTTCACAAATGGAAAACAATAGACTTACCTTGGCTTCCACTGTTTGTATCAATACAATTAAGAAAGGGATGAATTAAAAAGCCTATCAAATACTTATGAAAATTGGGATGTAAATTATTTCAGTAGAACTATAAACAAACATGGCTTTAATTTAATGAGTCCAAGCGATAAAGAGCAAACATGGCATCTCACTCCTAATAGCTGAGCTATTTTCTTTTTTTACTGAATGCCATAAAATAAGACTGCATCGTGTTGTGTATTTTAAAATACTACTACCTACACAAAAAATGTAAGGAAAAGTCTATGCAAAATGCATACTTTTAACAACAGGAAATGTTTAAGAGGTATTTGAAAAGTTGCTCTTCCAC